TAGATCATCTCTGACCTTAACCAACCATTACTAGACCATCCCTGACCTTAACCAACCATTTCTAGATCATCTCTGACCTTAACCAACCATTACTAGACCATCCCTGACCTTAACCGACCGTTACTAGATCATCTCTGACCTTAACCAACCATTACTAGATCATCCCTGACCTTAACCGACCATTACTAGATCATCTCTGACCTTAACAAACCATTACTAGACCATCCCTGACCTTAACCGACCATTACTAGATCATTCCTGACCTTAACCGACCATTTCTAGACCATCCCTGACCTTAACCGACCATTACTAGATCATCCCTGACCTTAACCGACCATTACTAGATCATCTCTGACCTTAACCAACCATTACTAGACCATCCTTGACCTTAACCTACCATTACTAGATCATCCCTGACCTTAACTGACCATTACTAGATCATCTCTGACCTTAACCAACCATTACTAGATCATCCCTGACCTTAACCGACCATTACTAGATCATCTCTGACCTTAACCAACCATTACTAGACCATCCCTGACCTTAACCGACCATTACTAGATCATCTCTGACCTTAACCAACCATTACTAGATCATCCCTGACCTTAACCTACCATTTCTAGATCATCTCTGACCTTAACCAACCATTACTAGACCATCCCTGACCTTAACCGACCATTACTAGATCATCTCTGACCTTAACCAACCATTACTAGATCATCCCTGACCTTAACCTACCATTTCTAGATCATCCCTGACCTTAACCTACCATTACTAGATCATCTCTGACCTTAACCAACCATTACTAGATCATCTCTGACCTTAACCAACCATTACTAGACCATCCCTGACCTTAACCGACCATTACTAGATCATCCCTGACCTTAACCGACCATTACTAGATCATCTCTGACCTTAACCAACCATTACTAGATCATCCCTGACCTTAACCGACCATTACTAGATCATCTCTGACCTTAACCAACCATTACTAGACCATCCCTGACCTTAACCGACCATTACTAGATCATCTCTGACCTTAACCAACCATTACTAGATCATCCCTGACCTTAACCTACCATTTCTAGATCATCTCTGACCTTAACCAACCATTACTAGACCATCCCTGACCTTAACCGACCATTACTAGATCATCTCTGACCTTAACCAACCATTACTAGATCATCCCTGACCTTAACCTACCATTTCTAGATCATCTCTGACCTTAACCAACCATTACTAGACCATCCCTGACCTTAACCGACCATTACTAGATCATCTCTGACCTTAACCAACCATTACTAGACCATCCCTGACCTTAACCGACCATTACTAGATCATCTCTGACCTTAACCAACCATTACTAGATCATCCCTGACCTTAACCTACCATTTCTAGATCATCTCTGACCTTAACCAACCATTACTAGATCATCCCTGACCTTAACCTACCATTTCTAGATCATCTCTGACCTTAACCAACCATTACTAGACCATCCCTGACCTTAACCGACCATTTCTAGATCATCCCTGACCTTAACCTACCATTACTAGATCATCTCTGACCTTAACCGACCATTACTAGATCATCTCTGACCTTAACCAACCATTACTAGATCATCCCTGACCTTAACCTACCATTTCTAGATCATCCCTGACCTTAACCTACCATTTCTAGATCATCCCTGACCTTAACCGACCATTACTAGATCATCTCTGACCTTAACCTCCTTAACCTACCATTTCTAGATCATCCCTGACCTTAACCGACCATTACTAGACCATCCCTGAACTGAAAAACAATCATCTGAACTTGGTTTCCAAGTTTGAGGATTTTCTTCCCTTCTTAATTCAGAAGGTCTGGATTAGCGTTGGTTGCTAAGCTAGTCTATTTTTTTGGGGGGGGAATGACTATTAGCTGATTATGGCTGAGAATCTTTACCAGCAAACTAATGAATATTTTAATCTGTAGATTATTTTTGTCTATTGATCGATAATCAACAGAAAGCAAAGTGATTTTCTGATGGATTTAAACCAGGAAGTTAAACTGGAGCCAACTGGGTGAAACTCATTAACTTAGTCGTTCTTATATAAACGTGTTTTATTATTATTTCCCTGCTTTATAAAGTATAAACCATTGTGTCCATCCTGGTTCTACTGGACCGAACCCTCAGAACCAAGAATCCAGTTTGCTGATCAGAGCTGATCTGGATCCGCAGACAGAAACTAATCGCCGTTATTAACGATCCGAGGCTCGTTTAGATAAACGATTGTGTTCATTTAGCAAACAGCGTAAATATGCCTCCATATCAGGACGTTTATGAGCTAATTCATAATTTCTATGAACTTTAAATGTAGCATCTTAAAGGCCGCCCCCTCCCCTCATCATCATCATCATCATCATCAGTAGTGGGTCCTCCAGCAGAAGCTGCTTTAATAGAACTAAAACCTGAAGGAAAGGACGCCGCCGGGGCCCCGGGGCCACCGGCACGCTTACAGTCGGACCCTGAAGCCAACCCAGCCGCTGTGGGACGCTGAGGGGAGAACATTAGGATCAATGGTGGGCGGCTGATAACTGGGAGAAACAGAGAAAAAGCAGCCGAGGAGCTCTGATTGTATCTGAGGGAGAGAAGGTGGGAGCAGGATATAAGCAGGAGATGATTGGAGAACGGAGTGATGGATGGATGGAAGCTGCAGAGAAACCATGATGGTCTGATGGATGAGAAGACGGTGAAATGGAGAGATAAAGGGAGACGGATGCTTCGCAGAGTGGAAGCCGTCAAACATCACTTCCTGACTTTCTGTCTCTTACTGTTAAGAAGATTATAACAGTTATTCTGTTGTTTATATCTTTACTTTTTAATCATTATCTGGATAAACATTATTAAACTGAATTTAAATCATTTCTACAATTTTCAGGATGAATCTCTGAACCCTTTTAATCATTTTTTTCTTTCCGTTATCTTCTGCAGGCCAGTTAGTTCTACGTCAGCCTGAACACCTAAATTCAGCCAATCATATATCAACGCTCATCTGTCAATCAAATGTTTTTGGTCATAGAATCTTGATTCATGTGTCGCAGCTAATATACGCAACGGTTGAAATCAGAATCTTCGCAGAGTAGGGTGACCGTTACAGGTGTGTAGTTGGAGAGCAAATTGTTGTTCCCAATTCTATAGAACGCTAGTACGGACTCGCGTCCTCGCCAAGTCTGTTCTAGTCACGAACAGACTTGGCGTCTGGACTCGGGGAGAACGGGAGCAGAATAAATCTGGGTCAACTGGAGCAGCAGCGTACTGATGACATCACCACATTCAAAGCTCGTCTGGAGCCGCATTTCACCTCCTGTTATTTATGGAATATAGAGAATCATAGCTTTTTTCATTTAGTGGAGGAATAATGATGAACACAGTCAGATAAACACAAATCAAATGAATATTTTGACAAAATTATCTCCATCAGAGCCAGCGGTCCTTCGCACACGGCTATGCAGAGAGAGGGCTGCTGCACACGGGTTAACGTTAGCCCTGGCTGCTGCAGACGGGCTAACGTTAGCCATGGCTGCTGCAAACGGGTTAACGTTAGCCATGGCTGCTGCAAACGGGCTAACGTTAGCCATGGCTGCTGCAGACGGGCTAACGTTAGCACTGGCTGCTGCAGACGGGCTAAGGTTAGCCATGGCTGCTGCAGACGGGCTAACCTTAGCCATGGCTGCCGCAGATGGGCTAACGTTAACCCTGGCTGCTGCAGACGGGCTAACGTTAACCCTGGCTGCCACAGACAGCCATTTTGGTTTCCATGTAGTTTGGGGTATGAGTCAGTCACCATCTTCCACTGTGACCGCCTCAACTACAGATAAAGAGCTGCGCCGCACAGCTAAACGGCTCCACAGCGCCACCTACCAGCCTGGGAGCCCATTTGTCCTCAGTTTTAGGTAAAAATGTTTTGCTTTAAAAAAAATCAATACTAGGAACCAGAGTTTGTGAATTGATTCCCGCTAAGGAGGATGTTCGCTCATTCGCTCCGCCGCTCAAAGTTGCTCCAGGATGCTACGCTCTAAATCCGCTCCGTGCTCACCTTCATTTTCCCGCCGCTGCGGCGAAATCGCTCCACGCTCACTCAGATTTTCAGCAGAAGGCATTTTCTGACAGTTTTCCTTCCTGTAATGAAGCCAGGACCCTGAGACACGCGGCGTTTGATTGAATGATGTGACCGATACACGTGGACCGCCTTATTTAACTGGCTGTTAAATTATCGCAGCCGTGAACGCCACACCTCGCTCTATAATGTTGCTCCGCCTTTCCTGTTTAATTATTCATTTATTTTATAGCGAGCGCATCGGAGTGAACTGCTATGACCTTCTGCTCCTCTCCTCTCTCTGCTCACATGCTCTGCCAGGAACTAAAACATCCACAGATATTATATTAGGCAGCCAAAAATATCAATATATATTACCAACAGGATTTGGTAATATAGTCTGCTCTGATATTCATAAGTCAGAAGTCCAGTAACACACTGGTATCACTGGTATCACTGGTACCAGATGAGATGAATGCAGCATGCAGGAAACCCAGCGGTTGCTATGGCGCAACTCAGGCTTTTCTTATTATTCAGAAAGTTGAAGTTTGCCTTTAATCCTGATAAATGACCTGAAGCTGCTTTGATGATGGAATAATTATCGATGATTTGGATTCATTTGGATGTTTTTCAGGATTTGCTTCAATAAGTTTCAGCTAATTAACATTTAAACGTTAAACATGAAGCTGCAAACAGACCAAACTGGTTATTTCTGACGCTAACGTCCCATCATGACCATCAGGGTTGTTTCTGGGTGGTCCTGGTTGTAGCGGGTAGACGTCTGGGTGCTCAGGGCTCAGAGAAGGGATGTGCATGTGAGGATGATGATGATGATGATGATGATGATGATGACGGAGGCTTCTTCATCTCCTGCTGAACCATGAGGCCTCATCTTCTCGCTCGCTGTCTCCCTCCCGCCTGCAGGTGCGTAAATACCTTCTGATGCTGGACGTGAGGAAAGACCACATCAAGTTCTGGAGACCTCAGGTCCTCCTGATGGTGTCCAACCCCCGCAGCAGCGTGGGCCTCATCACCTTCATCAACGACATCAAGAAGAGCGGCCTGTACGTGCTGGGACACGTCCAGCTAGGAGACCTGAGTAAGTAAGGTGGTTCTGGTTCCAGTGCTCCCAGTCTGGATACTGGTCTCTCAGACTCTCCTGTCCTGCTGTCTGACCATGTCTCCATGGTGGAGCAGAAGGACGCAGCTCAGTTCAGATCATGTCCTTCATTCCCTGAAGGTTCTCTGGTTCTGATGGAACCTGCAGGTTTTCATTCAGGCAGGAACAGGAAGAGGATTTTATTTTTTCCTGTTTCTCTCCTGGTTTGAAAAACTCCCCAGAGGAAGAGAGCAGCGATGGCGTCTGGATGGCGTCTAAATGGCGTCTGTGTTTTGATTAAAATTGTACCTGAAGCCGCCGCTCGCCGCTCTGATTGCAGGGTTTGCTTTTCCTGGTTCTCCTGTTAGCAGCTGCTGTTCAGTTGAACTAATTCCAGGTAGAAATGATGGAGGGATCCTCCTCCGTCCTCCAGGCCTGATTTCATTTCTTCCTCATAACAAACCCGGCCGCCATTATCTGGAACATTCAGCTCCTTCCTGATGAGCTGCTGTATGGAAAGCCGTTATGACAAAAAATGCATTAACTCATAAAAGTATATATTTTTAAAGATCTTGTAGCTAATTTTGACTTTGATTTACTTTAAGATTTATTCATAAATTTATTCAAGGTTTAATTTCTTTATTCCAGGATTCCTTTTTAATGTATTTATCTAAATCTATCAATTCACCTCCAGATGGAATCTGCTTTATTTTTTTATTTCAAAGTTAGTTATAGATTTTTTTCACAGGTTTTATTTTAGCGGGGGTGTGGCGGCCCAGTGGTTAGGGCATAGGTCTTTGAATCCTGAGGTTGTGAGTTCGATCCCCCACAGACTGGCAGACAAAATGGCAGCCCTCTGCTCCCCAAGGGGAGGGGTTAGATTAATGAATTTCTCTCTGGGATTATTAGAGTATAAACATTTCCATCATCCATCCATCTTTCCATCCCTTCTGACCCGTCTGCTCTCCTCCCTTCAGGCTCTCTGCCGTCGGACCCCCTCCAGGCTCAGTACGACTCCTGGCTGTCGCTGGTCGACCACCTGAACATCAAGGCGTTTGTTAACCTGACGCTGGCCGATTCTGTCCGCCACGGCGTCCAACATCTCCTCTTCATCTCCGGACTGGGTCAGTACCGCCTGCTGACGTTAAAGTGATGATGTCAGAGCTGCTGACTGAGTTAGTCTGCTGTTCCTGTAGGCGGGATGCGGCCCAACACCTTGGTCCTGGGTTTCTATGACGACGGCCTCCCCAAGGATAAGCTGATTGAATCGTCCTTGTTTCCCACCGAGTCGTCGGATCCCGTGGTTTCCTCCCAGGTCCTGGATCAGCCGCCTCCGTACCACTTCGCCGCCCTGCGGGGGTCCGGCGATGCGGGTGAATTTGGGAACGGGAAGGTTTTAGGCCCCCAGGAGTTCGTCTCCATCATTTCAGATGCCATGAAGATGCTGAAGAACGTGGTTCTGGCCCGATATTTCAATGACTTCGACCGAGCGCAGGTCCTCTCGCCGCCGTCCTCGGCAGCGAAGGTGTTTGTCGACGTGTGGCCGGTAAACCTGCTGCGACCGGACAGCTGCAGCTACGTGGACACCTGCTCCCTCTTCCTGCTGCAGATGGCGTGCATCCTGAACATGGTGAAGGCGTGGCGGAAAGCCACGCTGCGGCTCTTCCTGTGCGTGGAGGAGGGGCGGAGCGTCAGAGGCTCGGAGGCCAAGCTGGGCCAGCTCCTCAAAGACCTGAGGATCAAAGCTCAGGTGTACCCCGTTCCCTGGGACCAGGTGGTGGCGCTGCACTGGCAGAGGCAAGGCGGCTTCAGCAAGAACCAGAGGTCGCAGGCCGCCGACTCCGGCGCCGCCGAGGAGGAGAGCGAAGACGATTACGTCAACAGCTTCCCCAGCAACGCCACGCGAGTCTCCGACGACTACCTGACGGCCGTCAATAGGCTGATCCTGGATCAGGCCATCCCGCCTCCCGCGGTGCGTTTCCTGTACCTGCCCCGCCCCCCCGCGGACACCCGCCGCTACGCCGCCTACCTTCACCAGCTGGATCTGCTCACTCAGGACTTGGGTCCCGCTCTGCTGATCCACGGAGTCACGCCTGTAATCACCACCGACCTGTGAGCGCCGGCGGCTGCGACTGAACGGCGTTAAGGAGCTGCAGTAATGGCCGCCCTCATGGAGCAGCAGGATTCCCTCCGGCGCAGCGTCGGCTCTGATGTCATTCCTCTAATGTTCGTTCCACATGTCCTCAGACCATAAAGTGCCTTTTCCTCTCTACTGCTGCAGGAGTCGCTTCTTTTTCCTTTCAGATGAACGACATTAGAGATGCTTTTCCAACATGAATTTTTTTCCCGGATGATTCCATGTGGATTCCAGGAAAACATTCCTTTAATCAAAATGCACTATTTTTCCTGACCTTTGCACGATGCTCAGACGTGAAAAGCGTTCCGGGCTTCAGCCGCGGCTCCCACTGTTGATGATCTCCTGCGTCCTCGCCACTCCGCCGTTCCTCTCAGGAGGCCATGTTGGTCCGCCGGCCTTCAGCTAAATTGTTCGGATGAATTTAAATATCTGCTCATCTCATTACCTTAAGTGCTTCTAACGTTAAAAACAACTTTATGCAAATTGTGCTCAGCTGTGTGAACAAAGTGGGCTTTATGTGAGAGTCCTGCTTTTATCAGCGAACTAACAGACGCTTCCGTAGTATTTCCCTTAATCTGCGGTTTGAATGTTTTAATAATCGTGAATCAGCCAAACTTTTTGCTTTAATGAACCTGAATCTGATTTCCCATTTTTGACTCATTTCTCTTCTTCCTTCCTTTGTTTTTCCACTAATCTGTTGGAGTTTAGAAAATACACCCCTTAAACCGTCGCACTACATTTCTTCCTGTTTGATGGGATTTTTTTTTTCAGTTTTATAGAACAATAAATCCACTGAATGAAGTTTACAGATGAAATCAGTTTTTGTATGACTGTTTAATTATGTCCACATTTTTCCAGCTGTTGACTTTAATGAAAACAAATAAACGTCTTTTTCCATTTGCACAGTTGCTTCTGAACAAAACCTCTCAGAGTATACGGTAACTTTGGACGGGTTCATCTGAGCAGTGCTGGTTCTGATACGTCTGGGATTCCCTCAGACGGAGCGATAAGCGGCCGGCCGGATGTAGCCGGATGGGCAACATGCTGCTGCTCTGCCAAGCAAACAGAAATTCTCCTCGTTCACTCGAGAACAGAGAAATGAAGCTGAGAAAGACCCTCAATATGTTAAACAGATGTTTAGCTTTGAGAATGAAGCAAATACTTCCATGGCTACATAATTTTTTAAGGAAAATATTCATGGAAATTCAAGATAAAAGACTGTATTCATGCTAACCTGGTTTACCATCATCGGCTGTCTGTCCACAGCAGCGCAGGAACTGCTTTGGGACAACCATCCTATTGTTACGGTTAGATCCCGGACAAGCCCCCAAAAACGTTCTACCTGACTCTTAGCAAAAGGCAGACATGGATCACTTCTTTCAGGCTCCTGATCCCCAAAAAACAAAACAAAGTTTTTGATGTTCAAGTCTGATTTGAACTAAAACGCATCATTTTTATTATTGGACCCCAATAATTTACATTTAAAGCAACAAAAACATTTTATTTCAATCTAAACTGCCAGTAGTTTCCTAAGTGATCTGACTAAATAGTTTTATACTCAAGCTGCAGCGTAGTGATGCCATTAAACACCAAACAGCATAAAATTATGTTTTCAGTTGATGAGGTTCTGGTGAAGATTCTCAGTCATCCAGGTCAGAGTCATTCCAAAAAAGTTAAATCAATCCTCTGGACTTTGTTTCCAAGTCTGAAGACGTTTCTCTTCCATCCAGGAAGATTTTTCATTCCAAAATGTCAGAAATAGCGTTTAGTTCCAGGTTTTATCCAGCAGCCCAACAAAGCCTGGTTTTAGTTTAGAAAACATGCAGATAGAAACGGATGAACGGGTCCCCCCCTTTGGAATGGGGGTCGTTTGGCTTCATTGTTAGCCTGCAATGCCCCATACCTGTCTATGCCTCTGAAAGGGGGGTCGTTAGAGGGAATAGTTGGCCTGACTGACCAGGCGAGATCTCCTGCTCTTTTTTGGCAGAAGTTTAAGTTTTATGAATTAAAAGTTTCTGCTAAAATGAGAAAAACATTTGCAGTTACTGCAGCCTCAACAACTCTTTAAAAAATATGTTTAAATATATTTTAAACCAGATCTTTACACTTTGGAGACTCAAAATATAGATTTTATTTTAGTTCCTAAAATAAATGTCCAGCTTTTAGACCAAAGCTATTGATTAGGGGGATGGCATGGAGGTCTTCCAGCCTCAGAGGATCCAATCAGAAAATAAAAACATGCAAACAGCTGCTCAGCATTTTAAGGACTTAAATTGTTTAATTTTCAATTTTTTTGTTGTTTTTATTGCAATTAATAGTTCAGTTTTTATTGTTTTATCTTTCAGGAAAGTGCATTTTATTTTTTGGTTCTGGTCTAATGGAATAAATGGAAACGTTTGTTTCATGAAGACATACATCCCAATGTGATGTCATCCTCTGTCACAGGGTCGCTGCCTTCTAGAGGCTCACAGAGGTACTGCAGGGGCGGCGCTGGTGACCTCTGAACTTTTAACAGGCTGACAGAGGAATTAAAGTGCGGCCTCTGGAAGTTTGACAGGAAGGGATGGAACCTAATCAGGCGTCTGAGTCGTGGACCGAGGCGCCATCGAAGCCAATTATCACAACAAAGCCGGGACTAAACAAAGGCTCTGCTGCCAGGAGGAAACATAATGAGGAGCGTCTCCACCGCTTCCAATGACATTTTTCTGTCTGCGCTTATTTACATGACGCACCACCTTCAGTGCTGGAAAATGTCACAATGCTCCAAGGTTTCCAATTTATCTGAGCTCAATAAGAAGCTGGAGAACAAAAGTTGAGTTGGTGATGATTAGAAGAGGATGGTTCTCATTACAAGGAGCATGAAGAGGTGCAGGAGAGGAGGAGGAGGAGTGGGATAAAGGAGGCAGTCTGAGGATAAAGGAGGCAGTCTGAGGATGAAGGAGGCAGTCTGAGGATGAAGGAGGCAGTCTGAGGATGAAGGAGGCAGTCTGAGGATGAAGGAGGCAGTCTGAGGATAAAGGAGGCAGTCTGAGGATAAAGGAGGCAGTCTGAGGATAAAGGAGGCAGTCTGAGGATGAAGGAGGCAGTCTGAGGATGAAGGAGGCAGTCTGAGGATAAAGGAGGCAGTCTGAGGATAAAGGAGGCAGTCTGAGGATGAAGGAGGCAGTCTGAGGATGAAGGAGGCAGTCTGAGGATAAAGGAGGCAGTCTGAGGATAAAGGAGGCAGTCTGAGGATAAAGGAGGCAGTCTGAGGATGAAGGAGGCAGTCTGAGGATGAAGGAGGCAGTCTGAGGATAAAGGAGGCAGTCTGAGGATAAAGGAGGCAGTCTGAGGATGAAGGAGGCAGTCTGAGGATAAAGGAGGCAGTCTGAGGATGAAGGAGGCAGTCTGAGGATGAAGGAGGCAGTCTGAGGATAAAGGAGGCAGTCTGAGGATAAAGGAGGCAGTCTGAGGATAAAGGAGGCAGTCTGAGGATAAAGGAGGCAGTCTGAGGATGAAGGAGGCAGTCTGAGGATGAAGGAGGCAGTCTGAGGATAAAGGAGGCAGTCTGAGGATAAAGGAGGCAGTCTGAGGATAAAGGAGGCAGTCTGAGGATAAAGGAGGCAGTCTGAGGATGAAGGAGGCAGTCTGAGGATAAAGGAGGCAGTCTGAGGATGAAGGAGGCAGTCTGAGGATGAAGGAGGCAGTCTGAGGATAAAGGAGGCAGTCTGAGGATAAAGGAGGCATTCTGAGGATAAAGGAGGCAGTCTGAGGATAAAGGAGGCAGTCTGAGGATGAAGGAGGCAGTCTGAGGATGAAGGAGGCAGTCTGAGGATAAAGGAGGCAGTCTGAGGATAAAGGAGGCAGTCTGAGGATAAAGGAGGCAGTCTGAGGATAAAGGAGGCAGTCTGAGGATAAAGGAGGCAGTCTGAGGATAAAGGAGGCAGTCTGAGGATAAAGGAGGCAGTCTGAGGATGAAGGAGGCAGTCTGAGGATAAAGGAGGCAGTCTGAGGATGAAGGAGGCAGTCTGAGGATGAAGGAGGCAGTCTGAGGATAAAGGAGGCAGTCTGAGGATAAAGGAGGCAGTCTGAGGATAAAGGAGGCAGTCTGAGGATAAAGGAGGCAGTCTGAGGATGAAGGAGGCAGTCTGAGGATGAAGGAGGCAGTCTGAGGATAAAGGAGGCAGTCTGAGGATAAAGGAGGCAGTCTGAGGATAAAGGAGGCAGTCTGAGGATGAAGGAGGCAGTCTGAGGATGAAGGAGGCAGTCTGAGGATAAAGGAGGCAGTCTGAGGATAAAGGAGGCAGTCTGAGGATAAAGGAGGCAGTCTGAGGATGAAGGAGGCAGTCTGAGGATAAAGGAGGCAGTCTGAGGATAAAGGAGGCAGTCTGAGGATAAAGGAGGCAGTCTGAGGATAAAGGAGGCAGTCTGAGGATAAAGGAGGCAGTCTGAGGATAAAGGAGGCAGTCTGAGGATGAAGGAGGCAGTCTGAGGATGAAGGAGGCAGTCTGAGGATAAAGGAGGTCTGTGACAGAAAGAAGAGGAATTATTGCAGGTTTTCATCACATGAAAATCGCTGCGTTTGTTTCCATCTCAGGGAAAGCAGGTGAATGTTTCCAACCATTGGCTCTGATCTGGGATCAGATTGACCCTGCAGACGGCGGGAAGGAAGAGGCTAAAAGATCAAAATATCTGAAGGAACGGATTCAGAAACGTCTCTAACTTCCTCCAGTTTTTAGTTCTAATCTAAGTTTTAAATTCTGTCCAGATTGATCTGCATCACGGCTGCAGCTTTAATTTCAGAGAAGTTGAAGCTGTTTGGTTCTTGGCTGGTTTGAAGCAGGAGCCGAGCGACGCGGGAAGAAACGCCTCTCAGCAAACAGGAAACACTTCAGTTAATGGCGAAGCAGCAGGAAACCTTAATCAGGATGAAGCTTTGCTTCACTGGCATCAGTGAAAAACAAAAAATGTAGAACAAAAAAAACTAGAACAACATCATTTCAGTCACATATCTGTTATTTAGCTATTTGTCTTCATAGTTTCTGCTTTTTTCTAACATTTATGAGTAAAACTCCAAATACTAGTTATAAGTAAAATCTATATGCTAAATCTACAAATAAAATTCTAGGTTAAATCTATAACAAAAATCTCTATGTTAAATCTATAACAAAAATCTCTATGTTAAATCTATAGCTAAATTCTATATGCTAAATCTATTTCTACATCATAAACCTCTATATAAATCTATATTTTCTATCTTAGGGGGTTGGGCTGGTTCCTTATTGGGCTCCTATATTTTGGGGGCGTGGCTACATTGCTAATTAGCATTTCTGCTGAAGGTGAAATAAATAGATTTTAGTTTGCATCTAAATATTAGAAAAACAAAAATGTGTGAAATAACAGATCTGTGAAAGTAGATCTTTTTAAATTAGTTCTCCATGAACTCCTTGGGAGCCCAGAGATCAAAGGAAACGGATATTTAATTATCTAATGGACCTTTTTGATGTTTCGGTTTCAGTTAAATGAAAATGCTGATTATTGGAGCTGAAAGATGAAAACCTGAAACCAAAGCGGGGGGGGGGCGTCAT